ATCATGAGCATCTGCGAGAGGATGCCCGCGTAGTTTGACTTGACGTACCAGCCGATGAAGAAGTGCGCTCGATTGAACCACCGGATCTGTCGCTCCTGCTGACTTTCGGTTAGATCCCTTTCCAACGAGCTGCTCAGCTCGTAAATTAAATCGAGGGCTTTGTTTTTGCCGGAAAAGTGCTCGGTAAAGGCCGCCAGCCAGGTGAGCTCGGCGATGAGGAAGGTGCTGGTGGCCATCACCGAGAAGCGGTGGTAGGTCTTCTCGATGCCGAGAACGGCGCCGTAGATTTGACTGTACGCAGGAAAGTACTGGTAGAAGATGAAACTGAAGAAGACGATGGTCACCCAGTTGTTGGTCGTCCAGAAGATGCACAACTTCAGGCTGCGGAAATTGTAAACAAGCGTTTTGTTTGCATACTCTTGCTGGGAAAAGTTCATGCGAAGGAGGAGAACAATTAGGTGCCGAGACTGAAGGTGCAGCACTTGAGATATTTTTGAGAAACTGTTTGAGAATTTCGGTTTAGAGTTTATAGACGATAGCTTCATTTTATTGTTGAGATTTTCTTGCAATTAATTTACCAAAAATGTTAAAAAACTGCTTTCGTTTTAATTTGAAATTGAATTGAGTTTTAAAATGTAAAATTAATTATGAATGAGCACAAAAAAACTCATGACAAATCAATACAAGTGAACTTACAGATCACCGACTCAAAAAATTCTTTTAGAGTTTCCCCTTGTAGTGTGGTAATTGTGTTAACGTCACTTCATATGAAGTTTAATCAAAAGATTATTTTGTTCATCGAGAATTGTCGAGAATTCACCCGTTGCACATGATGCACTGCATTTGAACTCGTGATGATATTCTTGTAATTAAGTTTACAAATTAATAATTGATTTTCAATTTAACTTGCTTTTTCTTTTGCTTTTTATTGACATTTTTATTCATTAAATATTTCACATGCTTCTGAAAAAATAATGCTACAAACTATCAATACTTTTTTTGTTTTTGACAACTACAAAGCAATTTTTCATTTAAAGAAAAAATTTATCAACGTCAAGGAGTAATTCAATCAAACATTTTTATTGTCAATATGGTTAGAGACAACTTTCTAACAGAATAATTTTTGCAATGTTCTTTTTGACAATAAAAAATGTAATGATTAGATTAATCCAAATTTATTTTTGCCATAATTTTCATCATTGAATCGCTACACAAAAAACGTCAATAACTTTTTTGGTAGACATCGTTTATTTTATCTAGCCAATAGAGAGAGGTTTTATTTTTTACTTCTGCTCAGTGAGCACTTCTTTAAGTTTTTTTCTATATTCCTCAAGTCTCTTTACCCTGCCTTTCCGGTCATCAATCGGATTGGCCCTCCTCACCAGCACCCACAGGGCAAGCAGTCGAAAGAGAAGGCAGTTGAGGGCGAGCATGGCCAGGTTGAAGGCGTAAAAGTTCCGACTGCCGCTCTCCCCCTCAATGTCAATGTCCATGGCGTAGAGGACCGCCTGCACCTCGACCCGGGGCAGACAGCGGCCAAAGCCGTACTGGAGGACCATCAGCGACTCGAGGAGGTAGCGGGAGACGCTGAAAGTGGCCCCCACCTGCCACAGGTAGTGCATCTGACCGATGGGAATGACGTAGTTTTGCAAAAGCTGGCCGAGCAGAAAGACGGCGATGACCAGGACCGTCTGACCAGTGAGGTTGCCCCCGGCGAGCAGACTGACGAGGTGGCCTTGGGCGGTGGTGGCCAGCACGCCCAGCACCAGCAGGAGGACTACGTGTGGGTAAAGGGGACGAACCTGGTCGGGCACCGCCTCCTCGTAGATGTCCACAATGGCAACAAAGAGGGCTATGCAGGGCAGGAGAGGGACCATCTCCACTGTCGACTTGATCAGGTACCAACTTCCGGTAGAGTAGGCGCCATTTCGGTGCTCATTGGAGAACAGTTCGTAGTCGTGAAGGAAGGAGCGAGCGCCGGCCAGCAGCACCAGCATCAGGTAGAAGGCGCAGAAGAAGTTGCCGTAGATGAGGTTGTCCTTCAGGGCGAACTCCTTCTCCAGGTCGGTGGCATTTTTTGCTCGACACTGGCTGAGGTCGTCCTCCAGGTTGAGACAGCCGCTGACGGTGGAGATTCGGTCCGCTGAGTAGAGCAGCCGCAGACTGGCGCCAAAGGCGGTGGAGCAGAGGGCGAAGAAGAGCCACTCCTTCCAGAGGTGGGCGGTGATGTAAGACAGCTGACGACGGGCGAGGACCACCACTGAGTGGGCGGTAAAGCGGGCGCGATTGTGCTGGACGCCGTCCGCCACCAGAGCGGTCTGCTCGGACAGTTCTGCCTGAAAGGAAGTGGTTGAAAAATGGGAACGGGTGAGCTCAACCAACGCCTGGTTGGTGGACTCCTCGGGGCCTAGGCAAGACTGGCGGATGAGGTTCTCAATGGGAAAGGGCGAAAATGAAGTGGAAGACTTATTAACAGAAGCGGATGCCTGCTCCAGCGTCGACTGAATCTGTGCCGGCAGACCGCTGAAGATGCAGACGCCTCCTCGGGCCAACACATAAAGCTGATCGTAAAGGGCGAGCACCTCGGCGGAGGGCTGGTGAATGGAGGTGACAATGGTCAGCAGGGGGTGGACGTCCGTCAGACGGCGTAAAGCACGAACTACGGTCTCAGCGGAATGTGAGTCCAGTCCACTGAGCGGCTCATCGCAGCACACCAGATTGGGCATCTCATCGGCGGTCAGCTCGGCGGCCACTACCAGTCGCTTTGCTTCCCCGCCGCTCAGGTGCTCCACCTTGGTGTGGGCCGCATCGGCGAGACCTAGCTCCTCCAGCCACCGGTGGGCAATGGCCTGATGGTCAAAAACCTCCTCCTCCTCTTCTTCCATTTCAAAGTTTCCTAGGTCTAGGTCGGAGTAGGCTGCAGTGGAGTAGTTTCTCAGCATGGAAGCGTAGCGCAGTGTTTGAAGGGCGGTCAGGCCTCGAAGTAGGTGGCCGCCCACCTCCTGCGAGATGAAGCACGTCTTGATGGAGGTCAGTCGGCTGAGGTGGAACTCTGATTCGGGTGCTAGTTTGGTTTTGCACTGGCCGTTCAAGACGCGCAGGAGGGTGGTTTTCCCTGCTCCAGAGGTGCCCATCAGCGCCGTCAGGCTGTTGAAGCGGATGGCGCCAAAAAGGTGCCGCAAAATGGGTTTTTGGTCCTCTAGACTGTGGCTGTGCTGGGAACTGTTGTCGAGCAGTGAGAAGCCGCCCGCGAGGAGGCTGAGATTGCTCCAGGCGAGCTGGATTTTGGCCTTGGAGCAGGAGAGGCGGTACTCGCGCTGTTCTTCTTTTAATGAATGTACTGAGTGCAGAGAAACGGTGTCAGAAGAGGAGACGGTGGAGGGGTTTAGAGACTTCCGGTGATAGTGATGATGGTGGTGGTGATTATGATTGTGATGGGCTTTCATTTTAGAAAAGCAGGTATCTTCGATGACTAGCTCGGAGACCTTGGAGAAGGAGTTTTGAATGTTGTCCGCCTCGTTTTCAATTGCTTTCTGAGATGAAACTGGTGCTTCATCAGCTGTCAGTTGCTTTGTCTTCTTCCTCTTTACCTCTCTGAACCTCCACCACAAGACCACAATGGTCAGCAGCTTTAGAAGGAGGATGTTCCCAGCGGCCCTCCACACGTACTCGCCCACCCTCGCCCGGTCGACGCTGTACTCAAGGAGAACCCAGGAATACTCTCGCCGCCAGTCACACCGCTGGTGGCCGTACACCGAGTAGATCAGCCCTCGACTCAGTCCTGCCAGGCCCAGGCCGTCCTCCAGGCCGATCATTGCCGGACTGCCCATGTGCTCCAACTTGACGTAGAGGCCGCTGAAGAGCGAGGCCGAGGTGGCCACCAGCTCGCAGCTGATCATGGCGACAGTGGGCCAGCGCAGAAAAACCGCCCCCAGCAGTTGGCCCACCGACTGGGCGTACAGAGCGAGCAAGAGGAAGAAGCCGATGTAGATGGAGAGGCGAGACCAGTTGAAGAAGGACACTTTAGTAATTGGGTCAAAGTCCACAGTGTGCTGGCCGCTGATGAGGTAGCTGAAGGCGGCGATGAAGAAGGCGGTGAAGAGTGTCTCGAGAAGGGACACCAGCGAGGTGGAAAGCGTAAAGACGGAAAGGCTGTACNTGCCTCGAAAGAGGTCAGCCGTCGACTGAAGATCAGCGTGTTGGAGAGGGCGACGACGAAGAAGACGGTCATGTAGACGTAGGAGAAGTAGAGGGTGTTCTCCTTGAACCAGCCCTCCTCTTTGAGGCGGGTTTCGCTGTCGCAAGGGATTGGAGTGCTTGAAGTGGTGCTATTATCAGATGAGGTAGTAAGTACTTCCGGTGGAAGGGGGTAGCAGGCACTGGCCGAGGTCATCTCTCGGTCAAAAATGGTGCAGAGGGCGGCGAAGAAGAGAAGGAGAAAGAGAGGACCGAAGAAGAGGGAGGGCAGTTGAGCGAGGAAGGTGATGCGAAGCTGGCGACAGAGGTGAGTGAGCAGGTTGGAGAAGCGGAAAGATTTGGGGCCTTTCTGAAAAGTTTGGGTAAAAGGAGGGCTAATGTGCGAGTTATTTTCACTTATGTCTGTTTCAGTTTTCACTTTCAAAGTCTCTCTTTCTTCCTTTCGTTTGCAGTGCCTGGCTAGTTTGGCTACCTTTCGGTCGGAGGGCCCTGAAGAAACGGAATCGTTTAGTAGATTGCGCCCCTAAGCAAGACACAGTGTCCTTACCAGTGCAGGCAACCTTGAGCAGCACCTCAATAGGCGGCTGATCAGCGGGAACCGTCATCCGCGGCAGTACCCTCTCCAGAGTGGCTTTAATCTGGTTCGGAGGGCCCTCAAACACCGATACTCCTCCTTTGGCGAGCACGTATAGCGACTCAAAGAGGTGCAGCGTCTCGTCATTGGGCGAGTGGATGCTGGCGATGATCGTCATTGATTTCAGACCGTTTCCTTGTTCAGCTAGCCTTTTCAGGCAGCTCATTACCTCAAAGGCAGAAACGCTGTCCAAGCCTGAGTGTTTTTAAAATTGGTAAGCTTATTTTCACTGAAAGTACTTCTCAAAACCTTACCAGTGGTCGGTTCATCAAGAAAAAGATAGGCGGGCGGATTGAGGGACATCAGCTCCTGAGCAATGGCCACCCTCTTCACCTCACCACCGCTGCACTTCTTCAGTGGTCTGTTGAGGACTTCAGTTGGAAGGTTCAGCGCAGAGAGAGTCGCCTCAATGTGCTCCTCCACAGATGACGTGCTTTTGGCAGAAGTGATCAGGTCATTCTTGAAGGCGAAGGCGTAGCGCAGCAACTGTCCGACGGTCAGCTCCAGCACCAGACAGTCGTGGACGTGCTGGCGAATGTAGAAGACATTGGAAGAGTGAAGGCCATTTGCGGTGGTGGTACCATTGTACCACAGCTGAACACTGCCGCTGTACAGCTGGGGCCAGCGTCCGCTGAGCACATCCAAAAGAGTGGTCTTCCCGGCGCCGCTGGGTCCTAGCAGGCCGTTCAGTGAGCCGGCGGTGAAGTGGCCGTTGATGGCATTTAAGATGGTTTTCTTTTCCTTCTTCAAACACCAAAGTTTGCTTGAAAAGGATGAGGCCCATTGGTTGACCTCTACCGTCAGCTGGTGCCAGCTGATGGACACTGGCGGTGATGAAGGTGATGAGGATCGACTACTGCATTTACTGTTGTTGTTTGTACAGTGGTGATCAATGGCTAAAAAGTGGGACGATGAGGATAAACTTTTAGAGGAGTTCATCATCTGACTTTTGAGGCAGATTGATGATGGCAAAGCTTAGTTAGTTTGCTGATTTGCAGCGACGAGCAGATCTATCAGGCGCGCCAGGTTTTGGCTGCGTCGATATCAGTTTGCAGTTTTCCCTATTTTCAGCATGTTTGATGTGAAATATCGCATAATAG